TGTTTGGGTAGCTAGTTTTACCTTATCCGTATGTTTTAGAAATCGGTCTCCTTGCTGTGTTTCTAGAATGACATTGTTATGATCGGTGATGTCAACCACCGTGTATGGGCCGGTATAATGACTATCGAATTTGCTTGTTCGAGGTTCCTTTAGTACGTACACCATATCGCCTATTTGGTAATGGCGAGGGTTTACCTTTTTATCGTATCGCTCTTTAGATTGGTATTTGGCGTTCACTAGATTTTGACCGGCTATCTGTCTGAGGTCGTTCAATTTGGTAATGAGTTCATTCAGGTACGTTCCGTATGTCTCGAGTTTTTCGTCTGAAGGTAGTGGTGTCGGTAGCCTCGCTAGTTTCCCAAATACTAGTTCATGTGGTGTGAAGTTAGTGCTCTCGTGAACGGAAGTGTTATAGGAGAACATTGCAAAAGAGATCAGCTGATCCCAATCGTCGTATTTGTGTAAATAATGTTTCAGATATTCTGTTAGCACGTGGTGACTTCGCTCTAGTGATCCGTTAATTTGGGGATGGTATCCCGACGTAGTTACATGCTTGATTTTAAATTTTTTGGCAATCTTACGAAGTAGTTTGCTAACAAAACATCCTCCACGATCAGTAAGGATAATCTTGGGCGCGCCGAAGTTTGCGATTACATGCCTTGCAAGGGCGTCGGCTACTGTTATTGCGCTGACGTTTGGTATGGGGACGGCTATGCAATATTTTGTAAGGTTGGATGGTATCCCGACGTAGTTACATGCTTGATTTTAAATATTTTGGCAATCTTACGAAGTAGTTTGCTAACAAAACATCCTCCACGATCAGTAAGGATAATCTTAGGCGCACCGAAGTTTGCGATTACATGCCGTGCAAGGGCGTCGGCTACTGTTATTGCACTGACGTTTGGTATGGGGACAGCTATGCAATATTTTGTAAGGTTATCCTGCACTGTTAGTATGTGTCGGTTCCCATTAGGTGTGATGGGGAGGGGTCCTACGGTGTCTATGGATATTTTCTCGAAAGCATCTAGAGGAGTATCCGTTATGACCATTGGTTCTCTTGTTTTTACCCTAACTAATTTCTGCTCTTGGCAACTCCTACAGGCTCTAACATATTCTTGGACATCGTGTTTCAATTCTGGCCAATAATAGCGTTCGCGTATCCGTTTGTATGTTTTGGTTACGCCTTTGTGTCCTCCTACCAGGCTATCATGATACTCCTGGATTATCTCCCTCCTTTGCTCTTGGCAACTCCTACAGGCTCTAACATATTCTTGGACATCGTGTTTCAATTCTGGCCAATAATAGCGTTCGCGTATCCGTTTGTATGTTTTGGTTACGCCTTTGTGTCCTCCTACCAGGCTATCATGGTACTCCTGAATTATCTCCCTCCTCAGCTCTTCCGGAGGTAGTTGTACTTGCCCGTAACAGAGCGTGATGGTGACGTCACTATCGGGGAATGCCTTATGCAGCAATTCGCGCAGTGTGTTAGGAGGTAGAGCGCTCGGTTCGTCACCTACACATGACATGCGCAAGGTCTTGGTGCTTGTTTCCAACAAGGCCAGATGCAAGTTATCCAACTCTGTGCGTATATCCTCTGGCGTAATGCGTTCGAAATGATATATTTTGCATACTATGCTGAAAATCCGATATTTCCCTCTTTTACTGATCAGGACTTGCCCTTTCTGGGGGTTCCGATCTCTGAAGTCTTCCAGATCTATAATGCCTAGGTCTATCATTAGCTTCCCTATAGGTGTTGTTAGTTCACAGTCAGCTGAGATGAAATGAGCGTAATTATCCTTTTCGAAAGTCATGCATTCGCGACTGCTTCTGATATTTATCATAGGGATCGTTTCATCCCAATCCTTTCCTGAGGGCCAGTCTATGTCAACTCCTAGATCTATGGTAGCATCAGGTCGGTGACCTGGTTGTGTTGGTACGCTTTCCCGTTGCGGTTCCGTTTCATTGTTATTCGAGCTTATCTTATCTGGGAGCACCCGTTCGTATCGCGGCTCAGCTGTGTCCTTGGCTCGAACCTGGGGTGTCGACCGTGCCTTTGGTGGAAAGTTCGGAAGTGGTGTCGGTAGATGAGATTTATGTGAACACGTCTCGTTTTCCGGTTTGGTTGTATTTCCTTCATCTTCCGAGCTCTCGTTAGAGACTATTCCCATTTTTGTCAAACTTTTCCTAATCTTGCGAAGACTTTGTTTGTCTCGTTATCCGGTCTGGTTGTATTTCCTTCATCTTCCGAGCTCTTGTCAGAGACTATTCCCAATTTCGTCAAACTTTCCCTAATCTTGCGAAGACTTTGTTCTGCGTCGTTGATCTGTTCTCTTTGCTCTACGCAGAAATCGTCGAAGTCTTTGAGGATATCGTTGGTAGATTCCTTTCTCCCTTTTGGTGCTCGCGGGGGCGACCGATTAGCTTGCGCTTGTTTCCAAGCCTCGTGTAGCGTTCGAATTTCAGAATTTATTTTCTCGGCCAATTCGTCGGCGTCTTCTTCTCCCGTACGGAAGAAGTTGCCAGTCCCTGGGGGTGCACTTCTTAGTGGTGGCGACGCATCCTCTTTTTGTTTCCGGTATTCTTCCATTTCTGTTTCTAGTATCCTGGGTAACATCGAACCTCTCCTCTTGTGGATCGGAGGCTGGTTTAGCTGTTTCGATGATTCGCCAATGATTGGTGGTTCTTCCTCTCGGGCCTCCTCCAAATCAGTGTCTTCGTCATCCGAATCAGTGTCTTCGGGGTTTGATGATAGTTCTACTATTTCCTTCTGTGGTTCAGGTTTTCGTGTTTCCGTTTCCCTTGTGGTTGTTTTTGATGTTTGCCAATCCGAGAAGTTTTCCTCCGTATTTAAAATAGGGGGAGCACTGCTTGGACCTACTTCAAGAGCTCTCTTACTTCTACTTCGTGTGTTAATTCCTTCTGTCAGGCTGGGTAACATGCTCTTTCTTCGCTGGTATATCGGTGGGCGATACTCTTGGTCGGAACTAGCAATGTCGTTGTCTTCCGAGGAAGACTCGTCTTCACTGCTTTGTTCGGGTATCGTTTCGACTGATGGTGACACGGAAGATCGCAGGATTTTGGGTCTTCCTCTACCTCGTTTGAGACGTGACTCGGTGCCTGGTTCGGTTGTCTGGCTAATTTCCTGGTTTTTAGTAGAACCTTTCGGAGGTCTACCCCTGCTGCGTTTGATGTTACCAGAACCAGTCAGTGGAGCTATATTGATCTCCTCGGCATCTGTGACCGGATTTCTTGAAAGAGCATCGGCATTTAGGTTTTTTTTGCCGGATTTGTACACCACCTGATAGTTGTATTCCGCGAGCTTCATTCTCCATCGCATCAGCCTGGATGTTGGGTCTTTCACAGAGTGTAACCATACTAGTGGTCGGTGGTCTGTTATTGACGTAAATTCTCGTCCGTATAGGTAGAGGCGGAAATATTTCACTGCATATACCATGGCCAAACATTCCTTTTCCGTAGTGGAATAATTTAATTCTGCGCCATTGAGTATACGAGAGGCGTATGCTATGGGAAGATCTTGTCCGACAGGACCTTGACTCAGCACTGCACCGAGCGCGTGACCTGACGCGTCCGTGGTTAGGATGAATGGTTGTGTAAAGTCAGGGTACTGCAGTATAGGTTGTTGACATATGGCGTCACGTAAGTCTTCGAAACTCTTCTGTTGTAGGTCAGTCCATTCAAATTTGGCGGTTTTCTTTAGCAAGTCGGTCAGCGGTTTAGCTCATTTCGAGTAATTTTGTATGAATCATCTGTAATAACCGGTGAGGCCTAAAAATTGTTTGCAATTCGTTGCGTTTTTGGGAATAGGGAACTCCTTAGCAGCTTGGATGAGTCGGGGGTCAGCTTTGACTCCGTCGCTAGTAATGGTGTGTCCTAGGTATATTACCTCGTTTCTCAGGAACTCACATTTTTCAGGTTGTAGCGCAAGGTTGGCTTCACGCAATTTGTTAAGGAGCCTTCTAACCTTCACACCGTGTTCCTTCAATGAGGCGGCGTATACTACAACGTCGTCTAGATAAACAAAAAGCTCAGTCGCTTGAAGTCCTGTTAACGCAGCGTCCATTAAGCGCTGGAATGTCGCGGGGGCATTCTTTAGTCCGAAAGGCATTCGAATGAATTCATAATGTCCGTGGCGTGTAGTGAATGCTGTCTTTGGTCTATCTTCCGCTCGGACCTTGGCCTGATGGAATCCGCTGGCCAAGTCAAATACGGAGAAGTATTTTGCGCCTCCTAGTTGGTCTAGGATTTCCGTGATGTTGGGGAGTGGATAGGCGTCTCCCACCGTTTTTTCGTTCAGTTCTCGATAATCTATTACCATGCGCCAACGTTTGTTTCCATCTGATCCTGGTTTCTTAG